CTCGTTCGAAAGATACTACTCTCAACTTTACAATCTACCTTCCTTTTTCTCCAGTGACCCCGCTTACCAGTTATTGATGCACAGGACACCTCAGAATTGAAGAATCCTTTTCAGTGCTAGAAGTATTAGGTGCGATTAAACTCTTAATACTCAGAAAATTTCTCGGCCCTGATGGGTTCTCTCCCAGGTTTTTTAAATCTTTCACCCCCTTATTGGCCCCGCTTTTAGCCAGGGCCTTCAACGCCATTGACGACTCCCACCTCCCTTTCAAGGATTTACTATCTGACAATATTTCTGTTATTCCTAAACCGGGTAAAGACCCCTCCCAATGCAGCAGTTACCGTCTGATATCTCTCTTTAATTTAGACATCAAATTGTTCGCAAAGATCAGAGCAACTCATTTGTCCCCACTCCTGCCCTTTTTAATCCACAAAGACCAGGTGGGCTTTGTCCCTGGCAGGGAGGCCAGGGGGGACAACACCAAAACTATCCATCTCATCTCCTATATTCAACAATACAATTTAAAGGTATGTCTTCTCTCATTTGATGCCAAGAAGGCTTTCGACCCAGTTGACTGGCGATTTTTATACCTTACTCTAGAGCAGGTAGGTTTGGGACCTGGTTTTGTCACTAAAATCATGTCCCTCTATCCCCAACCCACAGCCTCTGTGCTGGTAAATGGTACATCTTCTTTTGCCTTTTCCCATATCGAAAGGCACTAGGCAGAGATGCCCCCTCCCCCCTTTGCTCTTATGGAACACCTTACCCATGCTTTATGGAACAATAACTCCATTGTTGGTATCCAAATCCCTTCCTTACACTATAAACTTTCCTTATATGTGGATGATCTTTTAGTCTACATCCAACAACCACATACCTCACTCCCCTGCCTACTACAGGAACTGCTTAGGTTTGGAACCTATAGCAACTTTAAATTGATTATAGTGAAAACGGAGGCATTAAACATCACTCCTCCCCCCACCACGATGTTGCATTTGCATTCCAATTTTTCCTTTCAATGGCAACCTAAGGCCATCTCCTATCTCGGCATTCTCATTCCTTCCATTCTCTCAGATCCTTATATGCTTAATTATGTTCCCCTATTATCCAGCATTCGTAAAGACCTAACATCATGGGGAGCTTCCTCCTTACCCTGGTTTGGGCGCATCAATACCATAAAAATGGATACCCTTTCAAAATTGCTCTATGTTTTCCAGACAATCCATGTTTCAGTGCCTAGGAGTTTCTTCCTCACGATATGCTCCCTGTCAATCCGTTTTATTTGGCACCGCGGTTTTTACAGAGTAAAGCACAAAATGCTTACTTATCTGAAACTTCAAGGCGGGGTCGGCTGCCAGATTTTGAACTTTATTATAAAGCCACCTGTACCCTGACACCACACTATACATTATATACAGACCAGCTTGTACCCTGACACCTTACTGTACATTATATACAGACCAACCTGTACCCTGACACCACACTATACATTATATACAGACCAGCCTGTACCCTGACACCACACTGTACATTATATACAGACCAGCCTGTACCCTGACACTATACTGTACATTATATACAGACCAACCTGTACCCTGACACCACACTATACATTATATACAGACCAGCCTGTACCCTGACACCACACTGTACATTATATACAGACCAGCCTGTACCCTGACACTATACTGTACATTATATACAGACCAACCTGTACCCTGTCAGGGTACAGGCGGGCCTGTATATAATATACAGTATGTTGTCAGGGTACAGGCGGGCCTGTATATAATATACAGTATGGTGTCAGGGTACAGGCTGGTCAGGCTGGCCAAGCTGGAGCTGAGCCTGGCCGTGTGTAGAGGTGGTGGGGCCCCACTATGCATTCACCTTGTCAGCAGCTGGGATGGAGATTGGTGGATGGTGAGTAGGCAGATCACTCTTCTCATCATTGGCTGCCTGCTGATCTGAAAGATAAGTGCTAAGCTTTGTATGGGATGGGGGGGTCATCACCGGCCCAGTACGGACCAGGTCCCATGATTTTGCTCTGCTGAACTCCTTAACAAGATCCGGGATCCTCCTCTGTGTTCCCCAAGCATCACCCAAAACTGAAAGTCTGGCCTTCAGGGAAAGGGAGAGCAGCTCAGGAGAGTGTGATCAGGTAAGTGATTACCACTATGATTCGCTGCTGTCACTGACCAACAAAGGAGGGAGACGTTTAAAGGCTAAGTTCACTTTTCTGAATATGTTACATGTTCTACCAGGGGCGGACTGACAACTCATGGGGCCCCCGGGCAATAGGGGATTATGGGACCCTGTGTCCTTGCCCAAACTCAAAAAAGCCTATGAAAAAGGTATCAGGGGCATCTCATGGGCCCCCTACTACTGACCCCGGGCCTCGGGCAGTGCCCGAGTTTCCAAATGGTCAGTCCGCCCCTTTGTTCTACCCATATTTAAGGTGGAACATGTAACATGTTCCAGCTTCTGCCATCTCTCCGTTAGATCCCCTCCTCATTGTGACAGTGGGATGGCAATAAAAGGGATAACTGTGTACCTTACAATGTGTATAGTGTGTGGTATATGCTGTTTTACTAATAGATGGTTATCACTTCTGCCTGGGTACTAGGGTCGTACTATTCGAATCCCAGCCACAGCACCACCCGCCTGGAGTTTGCATGTTCTCCCTGTGCATGTGTGGGTTTCCTCCGGGTACTCCGGTTTCCTCCTACACTCCTAAGACATGCTGTTAGGTAAATTGGCTCCTGTCTAAATTGGCCCTAGTATGTGCATGTATAAATGTAAGTTAGGGACCTTAGATTGTACACCCCTTGAGGGTTAGGGACTGATGTGAATGTACAATATATATGTAAAGCGCTGCGTAAATTAACGGCTTTATATAAGTACCTGTAATAATAATAGATGTGTTTGTTTTTTTGCTTTGCATTGCAGGAGAAAAAACAGCCACACTGACTCTGTACAGAGCCCTGTGTTGTTAGCAAACACAGGGCTCTGTACTGTCATTCGCTACGGTGATCAGCAGGAAAATACAGTGTATGCCTTATGGGGAGGGAGTTTGCAATGTGGAAGGGAGGGGGTGGCAGGAGGACGGTTTTGGGGGGGGGGACCAAAATGCACATTTGCTAAGTAGACAAAAATCCTTGCACCAGCCCTGGGTGACACCATCAAGTAGGAAGTGATATCCGACCACGATGGTGTCACTCCCTCCATCCGTGACAGCGCACAGATTGGCTTTGTGGCACCAATCGCATCATTTACAGGGGTCGGTTTAGGGGGCGCACTGTGTGCTGCCAGACCAAAATTAACCTGCCCAGCACCCTGCAGGACACAGTGGCAGGCTAGGCAGGAGAGAGCCTGATGTGCTAGCCTGCCCAGTATCTACTGCTCTGTCCTGTTTAGCAGGGGGGGGGGAGTGACACCATGTTTTACCACACCAGGTGAAACCAACCCTAGTGACGCCACTGCAGATATTTTATGAGTGTTTAGAAAAATGTTGGATACCCAGCCTGGGTATTCATTAAAACGTCCATAGGTTCAAGAAAAAACATAGGACCACTGAACAGAGGACAGAACACACAGAGTAAAATAACCATTCCATATGTGGCTGGAGTTTCAGAAAAACTCAGAAGGATTTTAACCAGCTTTGCATTCCCATGTTTTTTAAGTCCAGCAACAAACAAGCATGGAACTTTGTACATCAAAAAGCCCCAACACCCAAACAAGTCCAGTGTACTGAGGAATGCAAATCCCTGTACACTGGGGAGACAAAACAACCTCTCAGTCTTCCTACACTTTAAGGAAAAGGGGACATTTTTTCAAGGACAGTGATATGCACAGAAAGGACTATTGGTTTTGAAGGGACATGAAAGGTTATCTACATCTCAATGGAATAACCATCCCAAAACAGGGGTGGGAGCCTTCAACTCCATATAGTGGATTTACTAAGACTGGAAAGTCTAAATCTGGTGCAGCTATACATGGTAGCCTATCAGATTCTAACTTAAGCTTGTTCAATTAAAGTGTTACTAAACCCACATATGCAGTAAAGCATGCTTGTTATACTCACTGTGGAACCTAAGGGGTTAATCATCTACATTGTGTAAAAACGCTGTTTGATTCTGACTTCTCTGATCCTCCCCTTCTTCCAATGTCCCCCTCTTATCTCCTGATAAGACATATTGTGTGGAGTCACTCTGCACATACTCAGTTTGGTGTGTATTGCTAGAGAGGTTTTTCTTTTCCTTGGAAGAGTGCATGTGATCAGCACAGGGCCAACCAGCGCTGTCCAGACAGAGCTCAGGAGTCCTGTATCTTCCTGCAGCTACATAGTTACATAGTTAGTCTGGCTGAAAAAAGACAAAAGTCCATCCAGTTCAACCATTAAAAAAAAAAAAATAATCCTAAACCCACAGTTGATCCAGAGGAAGGCAAAAAAAAAACAGCTAATTTGCTCCTGCAGGGAAAAAAATTCCTTCCTTATCCCCCGAGAGTCAACCGGATATTCCCTGGATCAACTTTCCCTATAAATGTTAGTATCCAATTATATTCTGTGTATCTAGGAGAGAATACAGGCCTTTTTTAAAGCAATCCTCTGAGCTGGCCAGAACCAACTCTTGGAGTCTATTCCACATTTTCACAGCTCTCACTGTGAAGAAACCTTTCCGTGTTTGGAGATTAAATTTCTTTTCCTCCAGATGTAAAGAGTGCCCCCTTGTCCTCTGTGATGACCTCAGGGTGAATAGCTCTACACTGAGTTCACTATATGATCCACTGATGTATTTATACATGTTGATCATATCACCCCTCAATCTCCTCTTATCAAGAGAGAATAAATTCAGTTCCTCTAATCTTTCCTCATAGCTGAGCTCCTCCATGCCTCTTATCAGTTTGGTTGCCCTTCTCTGTACTTTCTCCAGTTCCCAGTTCCCCACTGTATTTAGCAGTTTATAGTTACTAAAATAATTGCATTTCCATATTCTGTGTACTGTGGGAGACCAGATATAGTGAATGCAGGGTCCTGGGCAGGGGCGGACTGACAACTCATGGGGCCCCCGGGCAATAGGGGATCATGGGGCCCCTGTGTCCTCAACCACACTCAAACCACACCCAAAAAAGCCAATGAAAGGTACTAGGGGCATCTCATGGGGCCCCCTACTGACCCTGGGCCCAAGTGCCCAAATGGTCAGTCCGCCCCTGGTCCTGGGTTTAGTAACACCTTAAACGTTGACAAAAAAAAAACTGGAAACTGATTGGTTCCTATGCAGAGCTGCACCAGATTATGCACTCTCCAGGTTTATTAAATCAATCCCCATCTGTTACTCACTTTTAATGAATTTTTAACATCTCTCTACACTGGTGATTTGACAACAGTTCACACCTGCAGCCATGGAAATCAAAGGATTAACACCTGTCCTAGACTTTCTTGCAGCATGGTGGTTGGATTATGTAAGTATAACAGGGTTTTTCCATAAACACTCACATGTCCTATCCTGTTTTTGGACACTCAACATCTACCTTGACATATTCCATGGTGTTTGGATCATGGTGACTGAGTTCCTCAAGTGGCTATAAATGCTGGTGTAAATTTGTGAAACTCATTAGAAGCTTTTTGATAAATTGCAGATTGCATGTCCAGTTGAATGTAATGTACTACTAGCTAGGTACTAGGGAAGCTTATTTTTCAGTTTAAGTTTAAAGACAAGCCAAACATCTATAGTTTCTCCAAACTAGTATTAGGTTACAATTACACAAATAAAATTATGAAAGCTTATACCAGGGGCGGACTGACCATTTGGAAACTCGGGCACTGCCCGAGGGCCCGGGGTCAGTAGGGGGCCCCATGAGATGCCCCTGGTACCTTTTTCATAGGCTTTTTTGAGTTTGGGCAAGGACACAGGGGCCACATGATCCCCTATTGCCCGGGGGCCCCATGAGTTGTCAGTCTGCCCCTGGCTTATACCCACAATACTGATACCTGCTGCAGACATTCAAATGTGCAATATGGGCAAATACATGATTGTTCCAGAAGTGTTAGTACAGTCACTGGGTCACATTCTTTCTCCATGGTTTTGCAATGCACTCTGGCCAATGCTTTTTCTTATTTCTGATCAGAGCTGACAGCTCGAGAGGAGAGGAGAGCCGGTAATCGGCTTTCCGCGGAGGGGACATGTACACTGATCATCAGGGCACTGATGATCAGTCTGCCCTGATGATCAGTGTAGCCCCAGCAGTGCCACCTGTCAGTGTCCATCAGTCCCAGCAGTCAGTGCTCATCAGTGCCACGTGCCAGTGCCCATCAGTGCCACATCAATGACACATATCAGTGCATACCAGTGCACATCAATGCCACATATCAGTGCCAATCTGAGCTGCCTTTCAATGTCACCCATCAGTGCCAGTCAGTGCCACCTAGCAATGCCAATCAGTGCCACCTATCAGTGCTGCCAATCAGTGCCACCTATCAGTGCCAATCAGTGCCACCTATCAGTGCCAGTCAGTGTCGCCTATCAGTGCGCATCAGTGCCGACTATCAATGCCAGTCAGTGCCACCTATCAGTGCCTGTCAGTGCCGCCTAACAGTGGCAGTCAGTGCTGCCTAACAGTGCCAGTCAGTGCCGCCTATCAGTGTCATGTATCAGTGCTGCCTTTCAGTGCCCATCAGTGATGCATGTCAATGCCCATCAGTGCAACCTACCAGTGCCTCCTCATCAGTGCCCATCAGTGCCACCTATCAGTGTCCATCAGTGCAGCCTATCAGTGCCCATCACTGCAGGTTCATTAGCGCACATCAGTGAAGGAGAAAAATCACTTATTTACAAAATTGTATAACAAAAACTAAGAAAAATGTTTTTTTTTTCAAGATTTTCAGTGGATTTTGGTTTGTTTAAGAAAAAATAAAAATCCCAGAGGTGATTAAATACCACCAAAAGAAAGCTCTATCTGTCTCAAAAAAATGATAAAAATTTCATATGGTACAGTGTTGTATGACCGCACAATTGTCATTCAAAGTGTGACAGCGCTGAGAGCTGGAAAATGGCCTAGGCAGGAAGGGGGTATAAGTGCCCTGTAGGCTAGTGGTTAAAGTAGGTCAACATCTGGAAAAGTCACACCATAATGCTTCCTGTATGATGTCATAATTGCCAGTGGAGCTGAGAGCATTTAGCTCCATGGGTACTAAATAAACATGGGCCAACTCTTCCAAAATTAATTCCCACAGGCACAGTGCTTTCCTGATTTTTAAAGCACCCCAACCATGCTGAAAAATACATTGGTCTTTCTGCTCTAGGTGCTGTACAGGTGAGTTTACATCTCTTTAAAAGTCCTGATAATATGACTGCTGAAAATTTTGTCATTTAAGATCAAGGTGACAGCAAACAGTGCCATTTTAAATAAATATTTATTATAATAAGGTGTCTCCGTAATATTAGATACAGCAGATCAGAAGGAAACCAGGGTGGCTCCTTATTTGTAGCTCTCTTTGTCCTTTGGATGCCATACAGACTTTGATAGTGGAATTTAATAGATAGCTAAAGTGTTACTAAACCCACAACACTAAAATCAGTCTGCATATGAAGTAAATCATGCTTGTTATTCTCACTATGGAACCTAAGGGGTTAATCCTCTGCATTGTGTAAAAAAGGATGTTTGTCTTCTGTGATCCTGTCTTCTCTGATTCTCCCCGTCTTTTGCTATCCCCAATCCATCTGCCATAGTTAGAGCAGCAGTTGCAAGTCTGCACATGCTGTGTTTGGTGTGCATTGCTAGAGTTTTTTTTTTTTTTTGGGGGGGGGGGGCGCCTGTGATCAGCACAGGGCCAATAAGTGCTGACAAGACAGAGGTCAGGGGTTCTGCATCCTCCTAAAGTGGAATGAAGAATCCTCCTACATGATTAACCAGTGCTCTGCTGAACACTGATAGAAGTCACAAGACTGCTATATACTGCTGATGGGAAAAGGTATTTAGCAGTTTATATTTACTAAAATAATTGCATTTCCACATTGTGTATACTGAGGGAGACCAGATATAGTGAATGCATGTTCCTGGGTTTAGTGACACTTTAAGATACAATTATAATTTATGATTGTACATTAATGATCGCATCTTTGTTTCCATCATGTCATTTTATAATCTGATCAATCGATATACAGTCATATTTTTCAACAAAGTATCTTGGTTCTGCAGATTGATCTAAAACTATAATTAATAATCCACCCTGGCTGACTGGGTTTGATTGACTCAGAAATCGAAACTGAGTTTAAAGTAGTTGAAAGGGAAATTACGATGATTAGATTATTTGTGGATTTAATCAGTTTTATCAAATCACACATGCTGTATACTTTGCGAAGCCTATAACACTCATGGTCCAGGCCCAGTCCATAGGAGGGTTCCATTACGCAGCAGGCCCTAATGCTGGGACCCTGCCACTTAGAAGGTTAGACCATACAACCACCAATCCACCCCTCCAATGGAACCTTCATCACTGGTCACTGGCCTCCTCTCCCTCCTCTTTCCTTCTTATTCTCTATCATCCTAAAGGCTAGCATAAAGCTTTACACTTAGGTTCTCATTCCTATTCACTGTAGGAGCACACTCATATTCTCTTCACAACCAATTCAGACCAGACATTGTTAGTAAAGCAGAATTTCTGAATAAAATGGTGTAAAAACAACAGTTTCTTAACATCTTCACATTGCAGTTCTCCAACAGGCAATATGACATGCTAGCAAACATAATGGTACTCCTTCTCTCTTTTGTACTCTACATGCAGGACATGGGCAAGGCTGTGATGCTCAAACCCTTAGCTTGTGGTAGTTTCCAACTGGTACTGCTTTGGCTCTTACTATACAGTCTCTCTTTTCAGTGTCCCGCAACAGGGTAACCCCTCTCTAGATGCGACCAGGGGCGGACTGACAACTTATGGGGCCCTCGGGGAATAGGGGATCATGGGGGTCCCTGTGTCCTTGCCCAAACTCAAAAAAGCCTATGAAAAAGGTACCAGGGGCATCTCATGGAGTCCCCTACTGACCTCGGGCCCTCGGGCAGTGCCCAAGTTACCAAATGGTCAGTCCGCCCCTGGATGCGACTGTACATCATCACGCGTATGGCAGTTCCAACTCCTATGATCAACTATCCTCCTGGTCTAATCCCCAGCACATTAACCTCTGAGTCACCAGACATTAACCCATTAGTAAAAAGCACCTGCTTACAAACTGTCAGTGGTATAAAATGCCACTAACATAATTAACACATCCCCATCTAATAAAAAGCAGGACAGTGAATTAGTGATTACAGCATACACAAGTAAAGGGTTAAATATAGCTTCCCATTGAATGTTTGTCTTATTTAAGAACAATACAAAGGAATGTAAGTCTGTGGATGTTAAAGCAAACAATAACAATGCTTGTTTTGCTAGAGAAAATTAGGAGAGAAGGGACAGGAAGAAAGATATCAGACTAGGAAGTACATAAAGACATGATTCCTCAGCAAGATTTGAGTGACCCCATTAAGAATGCCCTATCACGTCCCATAATACCAAGATCTACCACAACATTATCTGTGACATTTTAGCAAGAGAACAAGAAAAAACTAAATCTGGCATGACCAGAACTCCTATGTTTTTTTTTTTTTTTTTTTTTTTTAATGCATGGCAATGACACATATTTTTTTAATTAAAGTAACAGTGCCCAATCTTCCACGTATCTAATTTCATGTATTATTTAATTTTATGTTTATATTTTCTATTAATTTCATTTTTATTTTAATATTTATACTTTTTTTTTCATTTTTATTTTACTTTACATTATCTATCCTTTTTCTTCATTATTTTGCTCTCTTATCCTATCTCTTTTTTCTTTTCTGGGAGGGGGGCCATAAAAACAGGAAGCTGAGCCTAGGTTTTGCTGGTCGCCTGGTGGAATTCTAACTTCACAGCCTAACAGGGCTGTACCAATACCTTGGTTTGTGACCACTGCAATTTTAAACTTGGGCTGCAGAGTTTGGCAGGCCTGTCAAACTCACCCATTGAGATTAATGGGGCTGCACCGTAACTGCGAGCCAGATGAGGTCCTGCAATGTAAAATTTCCATTTGGCAACTAAAAAAAGTAAAAAAAGCAAAAAACAAAACAGGCATCAGGAGCTGCCAGGCACTGCTATATCACCCTCTGAGAAGTGATCCACCTGTCTAAGCCTGGTTAACAGTGATGTGGTGTGGAATTTGCAACGTTTTCTGTGCAAATTCTGCACCACATCAAAATCGCACCCCGTTCATGCGAACTGTTGCAGGTGTGTATACTAAGTTTTTTTTTTTATTCCCCAAAGTTTATTGAGAAAACACAAAGCATACAAATTGTACAAGGAGATACAATGTGCCAATGAGAAACGCGGTGGAAAACAAATCGCAGATGACAAAACAATAAGAAATACTCTGGTGAACAAAATGAGAAAACTATCTCATGTCTCTTGTAATAATAATGAAGTTCAACTAGGAAGAAGAACGTGTTCACAGCAAGAATAAAGGCAAACACTAAGCATAACCACTACCCCATATATCTTTTATCGCGTATGCTAAGTTAACACCCCAAAATTGGTCCTCAAAACACGGTGCGATGTGCAGAATAGGGTCGCAAAGGTGTGAAAACCCATGCAATTCGATTCTAGTGCGAACCCAAAAAAGGGTCCTGCACCTTTCTGGTGCGGATGCAGTGTGATTTGAGCCATACAAATGTATGGCTTAAATTGCACCGCACAGAATTCACCAGTGATTTGCACAGGGATGCGGTGCGGTTCCTGTGCGAATCACATACGATGTACCGCACCACATTAGTGTGAACCTAGCTTGAAAGAGATTTTAAGCATCTCTACCTGATTTCCATGGTTAAAATCCTGGTGTTGAAAAAGTATTTCACATATTTTTCTAGTCTCTCCACTTGCTCCATGGCTAAAAACTCTGTAATGATTCTTACTGGTGCTGCTGTATACCAAAGATGGTTTTCCAATGGTCATATACACGGTCTTTCCAGAGAAAAAAAAATATTTATTTGCAGAATGTATTAACCTTTCTCCTGATCTTTAAAGTTGTGAGCAAGTTTCCTTAAATCACTCCCCGTCCAAAGATCTTTTTTCCTCTTTTGTTGGTCCCCAAGATGGTGATGGGGCTACTGGAGCTACTAACTGAAAAAAAAAAACAGTTTCCAATTACAATACCATCAGTCAAATATTTTATTATTTTCCCATTGACATTTCTGTAGCTGTTTGTGTCCTTAACAGGGAGCTTTTTATCATAAAAAAATTTGTAACTACACAGAAAGGAAATTTGCGACTTGTTAAAAATCAGGTCAAGGGCCTGAACCGGTCAAATATGGTTTTGGCAATGTACAAATTTTTGAAATGTCTTAAAATAACAATTTTAATAATCGGTTTGCATTTTATTTCAATGTACATAACTAAGTGTGGCGGTCCACACAAAGCAAAGACAAAACAAATGTACAGCTGTCTGATTTTGTACCATATTGTTAATTGCATTTCCATTATCCTGGGAAAAATGCCAGCAAGATTAATAGTCATTTCCAGGCAGATGTTTTTCTTGTTTTGGGATAAATGATCTGCAGCAATTACAGCAATATAGTTATTTTCTTTCTTCTCCTTTAAATGTATTCAGTCTAAAATCTGGGAGCTCACATGGTAAATTGGTATTAGACATATATTTTAAAATCAGAACAGAATTATTATTATTAATATTATTATTATTTAGGATTTATATAGTGCCAACAGTTTGCACGTTTTGCGGCAATTTTACCGTGTTAGAGTATTGCCAGTAATTGTAGAACACCCAGATGTGAACAGGGCCTTACCTTTTGTTCTGGTAACAATTCTAAACAAAGGGTGTACAATTATTCCATGCAAAACAAAACAAAAAAAGCTTTGTCTTTACATACACTTTAAAATGGTTGTAAACCCGTACATATACCCATTGAATTGAATAGCCTCAGGTGATACCCAGAGATTAAACTAATCCTCCTACATGAGTTGTACCTGTTTATCTGCAGCCGACTCTTATTCTACAGTCCTCCAAAACACACATTTTACACAGCATCTCTCAACAGGAGAAAGCAGGGGGTGGGGATCTGATGTCACACACACTGCACAGAGCTGAGTGTAATCTGAGAGATGATTGGAGGAAAGTAACACACCCACTCTTCACAGGCTCAGAGAAACATAGAACTGAGGATATGAGGCATCGTGTATTAAGGGGGTGGGCCATTTTCCCAGAGGTTAAGGTTTTGACTATTATGAGTGAGTCATGCAGATAACAGAGGAGAGGAGAGATCATAGAATAAACATTATCCTTGCTTTGGAATATAGTATACACTGTATAGGGATATGCTTTGTTCATGTTTGATGTCTGAAGTTTACAACCACTGTAAGGAGTCAGGTAGGTACGATAGAAATGGCCCTGGCATGTTTTATCTATAAAGGTTTTAAAGTATTTTGAAAACTCAATTTTAAACACATCCCGCCTGGCCCATTGTAAAATGATTTGAGCAGGAGCACTATTATTCTGGGTGGATGTCATATGACGTCTTCCAGGTGCGTGCCTTATGCGCACCCTAGAAACTGCGCAGCAGTTTGATCTGTCAATTGCTGTGTTTATTGGACACAATTTAAGAGAAATCATTATATTGGGCCAGGCCTGGTACCATGTGATCTTTGTGACCAATCACAGTGATCGCATGTCAATAGCACATGAAGGCTTTCATTCATAGCCATTAATTGTGATCTGTGTGCTTAGTCACAGTGATTACATGGTACAGACAGGGCCAATCCCTATGTCCTTGTACCATGTGATAGCTGTGGCCAGTCACAGTCAGTTGTACACAATGGCACATGAATAGATACCATTCATAAAAATGATCATCACTGTAATTGCCAATTATAGTATAATCATAATCACTATGTGCTCGGCTTATATTCGGTATCCTGATTAATGGATCATCTGCAAAACAAGTGTTCCACTGTGCTCGACAAAAGTGCCCCACATGGACTGA